CTGCCTTGTTCCTCTTCCTCGAATTAGGTTCAGCCTGGATGCCACAGAGGTGGGCAGCGACCCAGAGCAGGAGGATGAGGAGAAGGGGAGCCAGTCCTGCCCTCAGCCTTGCGTGTCCCTTCAGCTGCCCAAAGGGGAACTGGAAACCTGGAGCAGCGGTGGGGGTGGCATGGTGATCAAAGTGGAGATAGAGCCGTTGCACCCGAACCTCATGGTCAGCCCTGGCTTGGATGAGGAGGTGAGTGTGCGAGGGCTGTGTGCATACTGGCAGCAGGGCAAGCTGGGGGTGCAGAAGGCAACACACACAGGTGTCAGCTGCAGGGTGGACTCCTTCGATGCCAGTGTTGAACCAGGTATGCCAGGAGGTCTGCAGGAATCTCAGCAAGGACAGGCTTTCTCTGCTCTGGGACAAACTGCCCCTTCTTGGAGGATAAAGGCCCTGGGAGCTGGCTGATGCACCGCCCTCTCTTCCCATAGGTCTGGTTGGAGTTTCCCTTGCTGCAACCTGTGCCTGTTGCCTTTTGCCCTGTCACTGTGCACCTCTAAGAAGAGACTGGTTCCATCTTTTCTATACTCTATACTACCTCTGCTAGGTAGTTGAAGACAGCAGTGTGACACCCCCCTTTCACACTGCTTTCCTCTGGGGAAGTTCTTTGGATTCAGTTAATATTAAAAGGACAATTGTATCACAGTGCTACACGTCCTATAAAAGTGAGAAGTGCCTAAGAAGGTTTCAGCCAAGGGTCACTTGCTTCAGCCTCCCTGGAGCCAACACCTGAAGCCAACAAACAGCTGGGCCTCATGGTGTCCTGTCATCATAACCCTGACAAAATAAGAGAGGGAAGGGGTGAGGAGTCAGCCTGTTCCCAGTGATATCATAGAATCATAGAATGGTTTGGGTTGGAAGGGACCTCTCAAGGCCATCTAGTCCAACCCCCCTGCCGTGGGCAGGGACATCTTCAACTAGATCAGGTTGCTCAGAGCCCCGTCCAACCTGCCCTGGAATGTTTCCAGGGATGGGGCATCCGCCACCTCTCTGGGCAACCTGGGACAGTGTTTCACCACCCTCAGCGTCAAAAATTTCTTCCTTCTATCTAGCCTAAATCTAGTCCCCTTTAGTTTAAAGCCATTCCCCCTTGTCCTGTCGCAACAGGCCCTGCTAAAAAGTCTGCCGCCATCTTTTTTAGAAGCCCCCTTGAAGTACTGATAGGCTGCAATAAGGCCTCCCCGAAGCCTTCTCTTCTCCAGGCTGAAGAACCCCAACTCTCTCAGCCTTTCTTCATAGGAGAGGTGTTCCATCCCCCTCATCATTTTCGTGGCCCTCCTCTGGACCCGCTCCAACAAGTCCGTGTCTTTCTTATGCTGAGGGCTCTTGGGTCTTGATCTAATCCTGTGCTCTGATATACCACAGGTATCAAACCACGCAGCAAGGGAATCTGCCCTGGGGCTCCCAGGGCACGCAGGGTAGGAGGCTGTGGGAAGGCAGGGATTATCACTGGTGCTGAAGTCGAGATTCCCTGCCTTGCACCTTGCCAGCCAGCTGTGCCCCAATGGAGGCTCCCTTGGTGCACAAAGGACCAAAGATGTCCATGACTTTTTACTTCTCCAGGAATGTGGCAGCAACAGGAAGAGACTGAGGTTGAAGCCTGTCCCATCAGTCTGCGAGACAGTTGCCTCCCCTCAGACACCTTGCAGTTTTGACTCTTCTCTTCCAGCCGTGGAAGGTTGGTATAGACTATATATATGGCATTAAATGACTTCAAGGTGTTTGTGATTAAGAAGATTAAAAACTGGAGATATAGCCTCTGGAAGCCTAAACATCCTCTGCTCTTCCCTTCTACATGGTCCCAGGAGCTCCTGAAATAAAAAGTTCAGTTGACTTTGAGTCTGATCCTGGCTAACAGTGTAGTCTAAGCGCAGACATGCCCGTCCCCAGTGACACATTGCCATAGAACCTCTCTGGGGCTGGTGCATTGGTCACTCCCTACTCACGCAAGGCAAAGATGGTATCCTAGGAACAAAACGCACTGCTTCATCTGCCTGGGTTTAAATGTGCCCTTCCACCAGTACCCCAAAGAGTGGGGCAAACAAGGTCTGTGTGCAGGCCCCTGCTGACAGCAGTGCCCTTAACTAACCTACCGTGCCCAGCTGGCAGGGGAGCAGGCTTTGGGACAAGGCTGTCAGGTTCTGGTTTCTGTGCTGAAAGCCGAAGAGCCTTAGAAAAACAGAGGCACTCTAGCTCCTGTAAACTTAATTTTGGCCTTCTCTGTGCTGCTGGAATCCATTAACTTCTCCCACCCGTCAGAACTGCCCCGGAGCAAAATGTAGAGACTTGTTAAGAGCTCAGCCAGGGAAGTGGAGGGGAAGCTGGCTGTCATGGGGAGGGTCTCTGGGGTGGTATCAGCTCCTACCCTCTAGCTGCAAGCAGGATCCTCAGAAATTAATGTAATACAGACTAGAGAAGGGAGGGGTAACGCAGAAAAGTGATGTAGCCTTCCCATCCCTCACAGAAATGCAGTGTAGCCTTTTCCTCCCTAACTGCTCCCAGCACTTTTCCCTCCCCATTAAAGGCAGAGTGGGAGCCCAGCAAGATTAACGGGGTCCAATCGCATAGCTTGCAACGTGGTGTTCTGCAAAGGCAAACCAGGATCCTTGCTGAGAGTGTTTTGTGTTCCAGGTGTTGAACCCCCTGCTCTGGAGATGCTGGAGAAGGACCACGTGTCCCCAGACCACGTGTAGGTATTGCCAGTGCTGCCTGTTTTGAGATGGCTGGGATTCTTGAGTATATCTGAGCTACTGGAGATGCAATAGCAAAGGAGATCCCACTCCATGCTGGGGCACAGCTGAGTAGCTGGTCGTAAACCAGCGCCTGATGCTTTGTGGGGTGCAGAATGTCTTTGCAAGGACATTTTCTAATCTCTCACTTTTCTTTTGCCCCATCCCTGGTAGGCTAATTGTCCAGCAGGTACTTCAGGAGCTGAAACAATATCATGGGTAAGTGTGTCTGGGAGAGGGATGTGGGTGGGGAGGTCATGGGTCTGCCTAGGACCCACCTGGCAAATGACGCTTGGTCCCCTGAGGGGCAAATCCCCAAGGTACCAGAATCACTGTATTCTTCTAGTGAAATTAGGGTAGAATTGCAAGGAGAAGTAGCATTTCACATGCCTCTTCTGTAACTCTAAACATGTTCCTGCCCCATCTCCAAAGATGAGCCTTTCCGCTGACCCAAAAGTTCTGCTCTTGTATTCTTTGCTGTGTCTGATGTCTTCTCCCTGCACAGGGCAAAGCAGAGAGCTTGTGTGCAAGAAGGCAGCGATTCTTCCCAGCAGAACCTCACATGGTTTGAGTTCCTGTCTAATGAGTAAGTGAGACGGACGGTAACCCACACACTTTGTGTTCCCAGAGCAGACTGATTTCGAGCCCCCCTCCATCTAAGCTCTACTGCCCTGCCAATACTGCGTGCAGGAGACTGGTATCTGCAGTGGTTCAGCCAGGATCGGGGCCTCGTTGTGCATGGCACTGAACAAAAACACAGAGGCAGCCAGAACTCGCACAAATAATTTGACAGTTCAGCTCCTTATTTGCAGGTGTCCCATTAATAAATGACGTGACTGATGCCGAACCAGATCCTCCGGGAGATGGAAAGCTCCGAGATGGGGTCCTAAAGTAATGCTTCAGATGAACTCCATCTTGTGCTGTGCTCGGCCAGTTAACTTCCCCTTAGTTAAGATGTTTTCGGTCTTGTTTCAGAAATGAGGACAAAGCAGAGAAAGGCACGAAGGTGATGCGACGTCTGAGTTCCCTGCGGAGCCGCGTCACCGGATCCCGGCAGAAGGATAAGGTGAGGGAGAGATGCTGAATTTGTGGAAGGAATTGTTGAATTCTTCAAGTAGAAAAGGGGATCTGGCCCCAGGGATGAATTAGTTGGATTGCTTTTGGATGGCTGAGGCCTCTACATTGGCCAGCAGATGCACTGTGGCCCCTAACGTAATGCACTGGGCAAAGTGATCCCTGACTTTCAGCCCACCTTGCTCCAGGGCATGTTCTGGCTGCTCTCATGCTGTCTTAGCATGAGTTGTGCAGACCAGGAGAGAGTGCTTTGGCTGGGTGACTGCCCGGATCACCCGCTGTGGCAAGGAGGAGAGCCTGCAGAGGCACAGACACGTGCTGCAGTGCTGTGTCCTGCCCTTCATCACGCATGACCCTAGGCTAGAGGGGCTGGCCCGAGCCTTAGGAAGGCATTTGGGAAAAGCACCACCATCCCAAAGGTGCGGGCACAAAGGTACCCACTGTACTTGCTGCACGTCAGCTTTCTGCATGCTCGTTTTTACCAGGGGGGAAAGGAATGCGTGGGCAGTGCGAGGCCTGTAACGGAGCTGTGTTTTTCTCTCCTTCCAGGGTAAGAACAAAGAGCAGCCAAGAGAGAGAGAAAAGGAGAAAGAGACAAAGGAGCCAAAAGAGAGGTGGAAAGAGATCAATAGGCACCAGCTTGTGCCAGGGGTTTTCTCCACTTGCACCAGCTGCTCACTGTGTGCCAAACCTCTTGTGAATAAAAGTGGTCTGCAGTGCCTGAGTGAGTATGGCTGTCGCTGCCTGGCTCTGACCCAGCCTGGCTGTAACCCGCTCCCCCAGCCTCCCCTCCGGCCCAGGCCGGCCATTCCTCTGCTTAAATCAGCCTCGTGGATTGCTTCACTTTTCTGCCTGGCTTGACTGTACCCCACCATCCTGCTTGGCCTGGATTGGTTGTTTCTCCAGATAGTCTAAATGATCTCTAAATCCTGCCTGGCAATAGTTTATCCTCGTTTTCTTTGGCCGCTTGACCATTTCCTGTCCCTTTCCCCCAAGGAATTTTCTAGGTCAACTTTTCCTTTAATAATTTTTTTTGCAAAACTCTGCTTTGCCCAAGCAAATATCCCTGCTGCCTGAGTGAAGCTGGATCTTTTAGGCTCTTTTTCACAGATGCAGTGATGTCTCAGCCTAGCATCTGCCCTATGAACGGGCACAGGGATTTCTAGAGCATCCAAAACTTTATTAACTAACACAACGGTCAAATGGTGCCTCCCAGAACCTGCATGGGTGTGATTGTTGCTTTCAGATGTAAGTAGTACACAGGAATAGCAGCTGCTCCTTCGCCGGCGTGCGTGGGACTCTGTCCTCCCACTGCTTTCACTGTGGCATTGCTGCATGGCTTTGGCTGATGGACAAACCCTGTCCCTCCTCTTTGGAGCAGGTACGCAGGGCACTGAAGAACATTTTAATTCCCAAGGGGGTTGTCTGTGGGCAGAGAAAATCTTCTGGAAATGAGAGAATTGCCCTCTTTCTCTACCCTGTATCCTCAAGCAATGCTCGCTCTCCAGTAAGGGTCTCTCAGAGGCTCTTAAGGTCAGTAAAATCTTCCTGGGGCATAAACAAACTGGCTGCCCTTGGACATGCGCTGTGAGAAATGTATTTTCCCTTCAGGGCAGCTGGAGAGAAATTGAAAAGGACCACAGGCCCGGCTGTTAGTGAACATTTTTCAGGCGTCACAGCAAAAAGTAGGAAGCAGGGAGCTGAATAAGAGCAAGTGCTTTGTGGATATTTAGAGAGAACCCAAATATTATGAGAGGAGGCAGAGTTATGCCTTGTCATTCCTGTCTGAGGAACTTCCTAGCAGAGGCTCTGTTTGCAGTCCTGCATGCTACTTTACAAAAAATATCTGAACCCGAGAGGATAAAGACAGTCCTTGGTCCCCAGTGCACCAAGAGCTTGGAGCCATGCTCTGTACGGTCCTGGGAACTCTGAGGTCATTGCCGGTGTGAGTGATTCTCTTCTGGACAGCTGCTTTAGAGATTTGTGATCTGAGTGCAAGGGGTTGGAGCTAGCTGTTGAAACGGGTGTGTGGCTCGGCATATTGTTTTCCATCATAAACGTGTGGGGATTGGACATAAGTTATAGTAACTTTTACCCTGTTTCTCAGTCCCTCCACAAGGAATCTGTGTTCTTGAGTCTTGCTAACAATCAGGAGAAAAACTCCAAGGTGCCTGGGGAACTGGCATGTGTTTGGGACGCTGTGACATCTCCTTTGGCTTTCTGGGCTGCTCAGGGATACGCTGCCCAGGCTAACATGGGCGGCAGGGCAGCAGAGCTCGGTTTTGCGTGTTCCCTTTGCGGTGGCTTGAACTGAGGCTGAACAATTGGGCAGGGTTCTGAGATGTTCATTAAAATTAATGGCCTGTCTGCGGTCAGATCTGGATTGGGACTTGCTGGGTGACAGCTGTTAGCCTGAGAGTGCCTATATTTGGATTATGCCGAGCTGAAACCTTTGCAAGCTGCTTCTGGGCGGCAGAGTTGATAGTTGATATCACTAGTTCCCGTTATTGCAGCTAGAAGCAGTGCATGGTCTCCTGACAAGTCACTGATAGGGCTTTTGAAAAGCAAGCTTCGAGGCCACCGTGTAGCTAGAGGGCCATGCCTACTTTTCAGAAGTGCAAGCTGCTCTGTCAGGGCTGTAGTTGCTGCCAGGATCTGAGGATATTTGGCTGCTCCTCCTGTTTTCTCATAATGAACTCACACTTCACCATCTATACGCTTTGGCCCTCGGCCAGCCTGGGTCCATCTCATGGTCAGGTGCGAGTGTTTATTTTATCTCCATGGTATTTTTAACTGCAGCACCACCAGGTGGTAGAAAACAAAACAGGCGCATCGAAGAAAAGACAAGAAAAGATGGTGGTTAAAGAAAGGGGTGAGCTGAAGCCAGGGGGAGGAAGGATGGGGAAATGATTAGGAAGTCTGAGGTCTTTTCAGTGTCCTGTGGACACAAAAAGTCTAGTGGCTACCATGACTGTGATGAAATAGAGGAGTGAGAGCTCTTCTTATTAGAGAAAGTAACAGCAGGAGGAATTCTGCTTTTAATTCAGAGCCAAGGAATCATCGTTCTGCTAGAAACATGCACGTGAGCTGTGAAGAAGGTAGGCAGCCCGGGTGGCCCTGTCCACAGTAACTTGTTTCTCTCTCCCACCTGATTCCTCCCATCTGTCCTGACACCATGCAGTACAAAGTCTCCCAGGGAAGGAGGCTGTGGTGTGTGTCGACAGTATAGACGCAGGAGAGTTTCTGCAGCTCCAGTTTTGGAGTCTCACAGATGTGATGTTAGGAGTCTAGCAGGGACGAAAACCAAAGAGGAATGTTTGCTGTCACTGGGATCTCAACAACAGTGGCCACCCAAACTTTGCTGTTACATAAACTTTGAGCTGTGAGTCTCTAGGTTTATAGTTCACCTGGAAATGGAGAAAGCTCCTTTTGAGCCTTTGCTGTCAAGGGTGGAAAAGGTTCTGTGCCTAAATTAATCCTCTCTTATAAACAAGCTTCCAGAGTTTATGCAACAGGAGTTAGATGAGTCCCAGGAAAGCCCTGACAGTAGGAGAGCTCTCCAAGCAGGCTGTGCCATGGAGGCGAGCCAGGGATATGCCGTGGAATATGGATGGCAGGAGGATTGCTTCCCTCCGAGCGACTTGAGCTTGGGCACTGGGGTAGAGGTGAGTCTTCTACATCATCTTTAGTTGAGAGTTACATCTCTATTACTTTATGGGAAAGATAGAGCCCTAGCCCCCGTAGGGAGGTCAGATCGACCATCTTCTTCAAAAGGAAACCTATAGCTGCAACCAAAGCGTTCGGTAGGCTGCAGACAAATTCCTCTTCTTTAAGAGAAGGTGCTCAGTTTATGAATCTTCCTGAATACTACAGGCTGTGCTGGACATCAGACTGTCCACCTGTCCTGGCCTGACCCTTGCTGGCCGCTTCGGTATACAGGCTGATTTATAACAAATCGTTGTAACAACTAGTCTCCAGGACTTACTTATGGCACATTATGAAAGAGGTTTGGAGAGCCGTTTCCTTTCTCACAACGGTTCTGCGGGTAAATGGAGGACATGGGTCTCTGCAGTTTGTCAGGCAAACATCCTCCACCCATGCTTTTTTATCTGTAAGGAGGAGAGGCCAGAATGGCTCTTGGTTTGGACTTGAAATGTGATGTGTGAAATTCACCTCTCACTCGGCACTTGTGCCTGCACGCTTTGGCTTGTAGGACTCCCAGTGCAGCACCAATAAGCTAATACGGGTAGGATAGTTTTGGTTTATAATAAGGAGGAATTACTTGATTTTCTATCCTGAAATTTCTGGTCATAGCCCACACAGAGTCCTGAAAAATCTGAAAAGCAGCAGGCAACCTAAACCTTTGCATTTCTGGAGAGAGACACAGCCGCCAAAAAGCTTCTATTTTGGGGGAAAAAGGAGGTTTGGCTGCTGTAACACAATGACAGTGATAAATGGACTGGGAGTCCCACTTGGAATAAATGATTACTGACAGGAGTCCAAATAAAACAGGCGAAACCAGAGCAACTGCAATAGGCTGTGGGTTAATGCGGTTATAAGCCAGTGCAGCAGGATCTAAAGCAAATGTGAAAGCGGTCTGCAGCGCTAGTTTCAGAGGAAACACTGACTGAGCTACGAGTCTGCTGACATAGAGCTGGCTCTACCGAACTCTAGAGGTTTTAGAAAAGGAAGCTGAAGAATATACTATTCTCAGTGCTTCTCCTTTTCTGCTTTTCACTTTCGTTTCGTATCTGAGCAGTATTGCCTTCATCTGGAGCATCTCCAAGGTGCTGCTCCTTGCATTCCCTGATAAAACCTCAGGATCTTGTACACTTGGCCTAACAAATGCGTAAGGCTGCATGACAGCCATCTACCTGCAACTCATTCAGTAAGAAATCTTTTGTTATTATAGAATTATACAGGATTAGAAAGTCGGTGCTATTCTCTTCTTTGCAATCCAAACCTTAGCTCTAAGCTACGGAGTCTTTCACCTGGTTGCTGTGCCAGATTTTGCAGATTTTGTGGAGATGCCCTGAGGCCAGCCGCACAAGCACAGCACGTTCTCTCCATGACAGCTGTAGTTGGGCAATCTGCAATGCTTTACTTTTATATTATAGCGAAGCACAAAGTTTGAAGCGTCTAAGGATTAATCTGTCACCAAATGACAGCCAGCCGTTTACCCCCAAACCGCTTTATTTAATGATTATTTCTCTGTAGTGCCGAGAAAACAACTGGGACCTTATTGTACTTAGTCCTGTACAGAAGCAGCACAAAAGGGAAAAAAAAAAAGCTTGCAACTATAAGATGAAGAGAAAAAATAAAATCGATTAAACAGGTCGCAGTGTGGAAACAAGAGACAATATTGGTCCCATGGTAGTCTAGGATTTCAGTACATTTCCAGCCCAAATGGTGGCAGGTTCTTTCAAAGCAGCGTGGGAAAGCTGTAGGGCGGATTTTTGAGAGGGAAGTTTGTTTTGTAATCATGGATGTTGCGTTTTCAAGCTCAACAGGCAACCTGGATGTGTGTGATTTAAAATATGACAAACTTGCGATGGAGATCAGTCTTGTAAATCCTCAGAGTGAATCACAGATCAGGAGGTAAGGTTAGGTCATGAGCTCTTCTAATTTTTCCTCCCTGCAGAAAGTACTTCAGCAGCCTGGCACTGTACTAGGTCAAACCTCACCGGTGTCAGGGAAAAGGTGGTTTTTCCAGCAAGCAATTTA